TGACGCAGATCAAAACTATTGCCAATTTTATTGTATTCATAGAAACTTGATAAAAAAACAATAGGAGGTCAAACTGAAAATTCCTGTATGTTCTAAAAGTGCTGTAGTAATACTAAAGACAAGCAAAACACAGACATTAACCATCATTACCTATCAAATCAACTTTGTATCTCTCCACAATAACACTTTACATATACCTCTGATGGCACTTTAGTACAATTATTTGTGGACATACCTGAGATGTTCCCTATTAGATTACAATGTAGTTGAAATCTGGGACTGTCTTTTAGTGATTTTTGCTGCCTTCACAACACCCAACAGAATGACTTTAACATTACAATTGACACTGGGTACTGTATAATGCATAAGGTAAACAGAATTACAAACAGAGCTTCAAAAACAATTGTATAAACACTACTTAAGCTTCACTTTTAGGAAGAAGTAATAAATTAGACTTTTTTGTTATTATTATTTTTTTTTTTTTTCAAGTAGCCTAGCAGCTGAGTATAAGGCCAGAGCCAGGAACTGGTTGCCTTCTCCACATTACTGACTTATTGCCCAATGATCAATCTCTTTCAATGTCTCTGTACAAGTGAAGTATTAAATGTTTCGGAGAAAGAAAACTAGGCGAATAACCTCTGAAAAACTGTATTTAGGGGGAATCTCTTAAAAAGCATAATAGTTAAATCTGAATAAAGGTAAGTTACTCAAGAGGAGAAATTCACCTACTAACAAATGCATAAAGCAAATTTCAGCTAGTAGCTGGGCGAATTGGTAATTTTTAAGCATACAAAAACGATGAAAAGTTGACATGGCAGACAAAATATACACACAACATCTTCCAAGATTTGTTTGAACAAACTAAAAAAAAGCAACAAAAAAGTGTTTCTTACTCCACCCTTTCTACACCTCTAAACAGCTCCATACAAACGGCTAGTGAAGAGAACTTCTATACGTAACTGTATGCTACGCTAGGCACATTATTTTTTGTTCAGCGTCAACTGTAAAATAGATATACTAATACTAATTGATACTAAAATAAGCGCATTTTAGTTAAAACCCAAAAACGAAGTCTGACCAGCTGAATTCTAGCTGACCAATCCTCTTATCCTCATAAAGGCCAGAGCCTTCTTCCATGACTGACATGTTCACATTCCTGTAACTCCAGAGAAGAAAGTCTCCAGAGTTTTGTGCTACAACCTCCGTGTTCGGGGACTTTCCAACACACAAAAGGTGAGGGGAAACACTATTAAGGCAAGTGAAAAACGCCTTTATTTGTCAAATAGGGCAAGGCGAAAAGGAATCACTTTCTCCCCTGGGGTCATGGCCAGGAGGGCGCGGTCCAGGTCAGGGCGTCCAGGAGAGGAAGCCGCTGGCCACCGGACAAGCCTCAAAGCTCCCCAGGCCGCCTCTGGAGGGTCGAGAAGGGAAGGGAGTGGACTCCTCTCGCCGGGCCGCCCTGAGTCACCGCACCCAGGTCTCCCCGCCTTTCCGCCCCAAAGCCGGGCCGGGCGGGGCTGTCAGCAGGAACTGCCAAGCCGCCCTTCGAGTTGCGACGTGGAACACAGGCAGGGAGGCCTTGAGGGAAGAACAGTCAACCCACCTGTCAGGTGGCTGGAGGGGGAAGAGTCCGCCCGCCTGTAACCTCCCGGTAACGTCCCTCGCCTAAGCCCCCAACACCAACAGTCGCCACCACCAGCTCCGCGACTCTCTAAAGCACACAAAGAGGGTTGGGCGGCGGCTGCTACGGCGAGAGCTTAGGGACAAATACTGTCACCAGAACGAGGTCGCTCTCAGAAATAAAAGGTGGGGTCCTGCTATGACGAACTATAGCCCCTCCGTGACTTACCTGACTTAAAGCAGAAGCCAGTAGATAAAACAAGGAACCCAGACAGCTCAGGGTCCTGAACTGTTTCTGCTCTGGCAGAAACTGGGAAACTACGCCTAATATCCCTGGGCCAGGAACGCAACTACCACCCTCGCCCTGCAAACTGACACGACCAGGAAGAACTACAAGCCCCGGCACCCTGCGTACAGCGAGCAGTGCATTCTGGGAATTGTGGTTGCGGGGCGTCGCAAGGTGTGCTGGAACATGTAGTCTGTCCCAGCCTTTCGGTTTCCCACTCCAAGGCATCCCTCCGTAGAGATTAGGAGGAGAAGCTTCTCTTTAATATAATTCTGTCTGTTGATCCGTGCTCACGGTTTAGTATGTGTTATAGTGTAAGATCTTGGCCCAACATTGGCAGAATTTTAAGAAGGGCTATTTTCCAGTAGTGAACCTATGAATTACACTAATGCACATTTGGTGAAGACCTGAAGTAGACTTTTTAGAAAGCATATATATATATATATATATATATATATATATATATATATATGTATGTAAATACATATGTAAGTTTTAGGGGAAAAATGCCTTATAGAGGCTTTATGAGGCATCTTAGGCAAAATCTAAATAAAAATATGTTAATTGACATAGCGAATAATTCTTTAGTATCCATTGCAGTGTAGTAGTAGCATTTTGGTTTTCTCTCAAAGCATTTTAGGAAAGAAAGTATTTTAAACCCTCAAAAAGTATATTAAACCCTCAAACCAAGCTAGAATGTTTTCCACAGATTTTTAATATACAAAGAAAACAAAAGTTACTGGAACAGGAACAGCAATGCATGCTTTGATACACGTTTTTAAAGTTTAAACAATTTAAAGCATTATTTGGCAGCAGTTAAAACTAAAACCAACGCAATATCTTTCCTATGTTCTAGAAAACTGACTGTTTTATGTTTGATATAATGAATTCCAAGTTTCCCTTCAAAGTATCAATATGTCAAGATGTTCAGTTCTTTGTCCTCCAGTTTAAAGTTTAACTTCCTTGTAGTTTCAGTAAACAACTTTTTCCACTAGTTCTAATCAGAAGTTCACAGCTTTTCCCCCAGTTCCCTACTCCATCCTGACTCATCCCGGTCAGCTGCTCTGGTCACCTGCTCCAGTCACCTGCTTTGATTGATATAGGTCACCTGTTCTGACCTGTCCTATAACCATCCTTCCCACAAAACTACCCACCAGCCACTCTGGCTCCTACCCCTTGCTCCCTTTAAAATAACCAATTGGAATTAGACTAGACTGTGCAATCTAATCCTAGCCAATAGGGAAATGACACAGCAGTAGAGGCTACTTCCATCAGGAATAAAAACTCCTTCCCCTCCCTTGTCCTGGTTCCATCTGTGAGCGGCACCCTTCTATAGGAGTAAATTGCTTTGCTGAGGAAACTTATATTCCAGTCTACTTCTTTTGTGGCACTGGAAATTTACATTCTACGAGTTCTAGATATTGCCCAAGTCTAGGATTAACCTTTATGATTCATATTCCAAGTCCTTAGGCTTGTGGTCTTTTTCTTATCTTTCTCTGCCTTATCTATGGTCTTTTGTATAGAAAAAAATATTCTAAAATGAATCTGAGAAAGAAAATTCTTGGCTTTCCACAGTTTTTCCCAATAACCTAACATTCAAAGAGCTTTATAACTACGTTATTTTCTTACTTCTTACCTAATATTTAGTTTTAATTTATTAATTTGAATAGAATTATTATTGATTGTCTACCGTGTGCCTAGAATGGTGCTGGGTATTGTATTAAGAGCAAAAATGGGCCAGGTGTAATGTAATCATGCCTGTAATCCCAGCACTTTGGGAGGCCGAGGTGGGCAGATGACTTGACCAGTGTGGACAACATGGTGAAACCCCATCTCTACAAAAATAGAAAAATTAACCAGGTGCATGGCATGTGGCTGTAGTCCCAGCTACTCACAAGGCTGAGGCAGGAGGATGGGTTGCACCCAGGAAGCAGAGGTTACAGTGAGCCAAAATCGCACCACTGCATCTCAGCCTGGGAGACAGAGCAAGACCCTGCTCCCCATCCCCCCCAAAAAGAAACAGAACTAAAACGCACATCCTTCTTCTCAAGGGAGAAAGACAGGATACTCACTCAACTAAGTATGGATGGTTCCTGACTGATGATGGTTTAACTTAAGATTTTTTTTTTTCTCATTCCAATGGACTTATTAGAGTAAAATGCATTTTCAGCATATACTTTTGACTTAAGATAGGTTTATCAGGACATAACCGAAGGAGCATCCGTGTAATGATGGGATTAGATAAGGAAGTCATAGAAACACCTGGAAAAACTTTTCAGGAAACTTTTGGAAGGAGGTGATTCTAGAGTGAAGTCTTTGATTCTCAAAGGTTAAGTAGAAGTAGTTAGCCAAGCAGAGAAGATGCAGTTAAGATGTCTTGGGAAGAGAAAAGAATATGGCCAAAGGACAGAAGTGTGAGAGCATAGAATGCCAATTCACAACAGCCATAGGCTAAGACAGGAACTGGGGAATGAAGCCATAAGCAGGGGCAAAGTCACAAACCCCAGTTTAAATTCAGTCCTACAGATGATGTGAATCCACGAGATTTTCAGTGGGAGCATGGTGTGATAAGGTTTGCACTTTAGATAGCTGACCTTTCAAAGTAGTCTGAAGAAAGGCTACTATGCTGATTATTTTCTTTTTCTTTCTCTTTTTTTAAGAAAGAGAAAGGAGGAGAGAGAACAGAAGTCTTGCTATATTGCCCTGGCTGGAAATCAATCTAAAAATAAGTATTAAAAACCTCTTTTATGCTGATAATTGTGCTTAACAGCAGAGACAGGAAGGAATAAGGGAAGAAAATAACAAAGAAACAGCCAACCAGTACTTCATTTAAGTCTGTGAAATGCTATGCAAATGCTGAAGAGTGATTTACTTCCAATTATGTGGTCACTTTCAAAATAGGTGTAATATGATACTGAGAAAAATGTATGTTCTGTGGACCTGGGGTGACCAGAATTCTATAAATATTCACTGAGTTTACTTGTTCCAGGTCTGAGTTCAAATCATAGATGTCCCTGTTAATTTTCTATCTCGTTGATCTGTCGAATATTAACAATGTGGTGTCAAAGTCTCCCGCTATTGGATCCTGCTCCTCTGGGTTGAAACCCGGATGCTGCCAAGACGCCGGCTTACCACTCTTCTCTCATGGATCCTGACACCAAACTCATTGGAAACATGGCACTGTTACCTATCAGAAGTCAATTCAAAGGACCTGCCCCCAGAGAGACGAAAGATACAGATATTTGTGGATGAAGCCATCTATTACTTCAAGGCCAATGTCTTCTTCAAGAACTATGAAATTAAGAATGAAGCTGATGAGACCTTGATATATATAACTCTCTACATTTCTGAGTGTCTGAAGAAACTCCAAAAGTGCAATTCCAAAAGCCAAGAAGTGATGAGAGCCTATTTACAACAGCTAAGGCAAGAGACTGGACTGAGACTTTGTGAGAGAGTTTTCGACTCTCAGAATGATAAACCCAGCAATTGGTGGACTTGCTTTGTGAAGAGACAGTTCATGAACAAGAGTCTTTCAGGACCTGGACAGTGAAGGGAGCTTGGGCAGCCACCATCTCCAGAGCCCTGGGCAGCATTTTCCAGCAAGACACACACAATCTTTTGTCTTTATTTCATAAAGTTTTATACAGAAGAGAGAAGAGCATGTCTTTACTTGAAAAACTCTTGATCAAGAATTTGGGTAGGAGAAAAGAAAGTGTGTTATCAAGGGTGATTTGAAATTTTCTGCAGTATTAAGCTGGCGCTTGATAAAAATAAGTAATAATAAATAAATTTCTAACATTAAAAAAAAGTCTCCTGCTATTGTTGTGTGGGTGTCTAAGTCTCTTTATAAGTCATTAAGAACTTGTCTTATGTATCTGGGTGTTCCTATACTGGGTGCATATGTATTTATGATCATTGACACCTGTTGTTGCATTGATCCTTTTACCATTATGTAATGTCCTTCTTTGTTTCTTTTAGTCTTTGTTACTATTAAAGTCTATTTTGTCAGAGATGAAAATGACAATTCCTGTTTTCTTTTTTTTTGCTTTCCATTTGATTGGTAAGTCTTCCACCAACCCTTTGTTTTGAGTCTGTGTGTCCTTGCTTATGAGATGGATCTGGATACAGCGAACCAATGGGTTTTGACTTTATTCAGGTACACCTATCAAACGTAAATTAGGTCTTTTCACATAGTCCTGTATTTCTTGGAGACTTTGCTCATTCCTTTTTATTCTTTCTTCTCTAATCTTGTCTTCCTGTTTCATTTCATTAAGTTGGTCTTCGACCTCTGATATCCTTTCATCTGCTTGATCAATTTGACTGTTAAAACCTGTGCATACTTCACAGCGTTCTCGTATTGTATGCTTCAGTTCCATTAATTCACTTATATTCCTCTCTAGATTGTCTATTCTCATTAGGATTTCGTCAAACCTTTTTTCAACGTTCTTAGTTTCTTTACATTGGTCTAGACCATGTTCTTTTAACTCACAGAAGTTTCTTATTATCCACATTCTGAAGCCTAAATCTGTTAATGGAACGCACTCGTTCTCCATCAGGCCTTGTTCCCTTGTTAATGAGAAACTGTGATCCACTGTAGAGGGAGCGGCATTCTGATTTTGGGTATTTTCAGCCTTTTTACGCTGATTTCTTCCCATCATTGTAAGTTTATCCACCTGTCATCTTTGTAATTACCAACTTTCAAATTAGGTCTCTGAGTGGACGTCCAACTTGTTGATTCCCAGCGCCAGAATCTGAGCAACCCACTGTGCTGGCCAAAACAGCGGCATTAAGATTCGTGGTGCTTTTATGCCCGGGAATCTCCAGTCTGGCTTCCTTCTTGAGTCCCTTTTTCAGTCAGCTGAATAGGCAACTCTGCCTTCCCGGAGCTCCAAACGTCGACCAAAAGGGGACCCAGTCCCGTTTACTCTGCAAGAACCACCACGCCGGCCACTAGAGTCCCGCTGGCGACCTGTGGGGCTCCTGCGCTGGGAATCTCCTGGTCTGTGAGCAACAAAAATTCATCTCAAAGTGTGGTGTCCTCTTGTTCTCTGCGCTTTCACTGGGAGCTACAATCCTGAGCTGCTAGTAATCAACCATTTTGGATCTCTCTCTGCTGATTATTTTCTCTTTGTCCTCCCAGATTCATTTCCTGCCGTTCTCTGCTAAGCTCTATGCCTCTCAGGGTTGACCTCAGTTTCTTTAAGCACTGCCTTGTGGTTGGACATAAGGAAGGCCAAGGCAAGGATATCAGAAGGTGGGTAGAAAGTGAAATTGGGGCATCTCTTCCTTGCTCCTTCCTTCTTTGGGTGTCACATGTCCAGCCATGGCTTCATTCCTTCATGACTACAGTACTTGCCAGATGGCTGTTTCTCCATGATTCTACTTTTCCCTGGGTTCTCTGGTGATTTTATGTTCTTCTTTTATCTCTTGGACACCTCCTAGCTACAGTAGCTAGGCTCTGACTGTCTCATCATCTCTTGCTTGTTCCCTTACTACTGCTCACTCCTCTGTAATGGTCCTTTCATTAAAGTATTTTGAACTATCTTGTGAATTCTGTTTCTTGTTGAGACCCTTACTGATATAGCTTACCTAGAGGGATGAGAGGTGGAGAAAAGAAGGTAGAGACTGGAAGCAGGGCATGCAACTGGAAGACTTTTGGTAGAGTCAGAAACTATAAATGCATGAACTAATGCATTATCAATGAGAATTAAGAAAAGTAGATGGATTGAAGAAATGTTAAGATTATGTGAGACTTCTACAGCAATAAAGCAGACTAGATACCCCAGTTGACCTTCCCACTGAAAACCACTAAATATACAGGCTGAATAATACAGCTTTTGGGTGGGTACAGTGGCTCATGCCTGTAATCCCAGCAGTTTGGGAGGCCAAGGTGGGAGGATCACTTGAGCCCAGGAGTTCAAGACCAGCCTGGGCAAGATGGCAAAACCCCATCTCTATAAAATATATTAAAATTAACTGGATATGATTACACTTGCCTATAGACCCAGCGACTTGGGAGGCTGAGTGTGGGAGGATTGCTTGAACCCAGGAATTTGAGGCTGCAGTGAGCTATAATCACACCATTGCACTCCAGACTGGGTGATAGAGTGCGATCCTGTTGCTTAAATAAATAAAATTTTAAAAACAGTTTTAAAATGTAAAATATGTAACTAAACAAACTCCCACGTTTTTGTTGTTTCATTTTTAACATTTAAAAAAAAAATCCTATTATCAGCACTGATCAGAAAGACTATATCCGCCAGGCACAGTGGCTCACACCTGTAATCCCAGCACTTTGGGAGGCCGAGGTGAGTGGATCACGAGGTCAAGAGATCGAGACCATCCTGGTCAACATGGTGAAACCCCGTCTCTACTAAAAATACCAAAACAAATTAGCTGGGCATGGTGGCACCTGCCTGTAATCCCAACTACTCAGGAGGCTGAGGCAGAAGAATTGCCTGAACCCAGGAGGCAGAGGTTGCGGTGAGCCGAGATTGCGCCATTGCACTCCAGCCTGGGTAACAAGAGCGAAACTTCATCTCAAAAAAAAAAAAGAAAAGAAAGAAAGACTGTGTCCTGGACATTACATAGTTCAAATCACTGTGTCTTCAACTTTTTAAGTTGGAAGGGCTGAGGAGGAATCCTAATCAGCATTAGTGCTACAGGGTGTTTTTAAAGAAGAGGATTTGCATTTTAAAACTGGTTTGTAGGAGAGGGTAGAAATATATATAGTAGCATTTGTTGAACAAATTCATATCTGGATTTACACTTGAATTCAATATGCCAATGTTTGCAAAATTTTAATAAAATTAATACATTGACACAATGCAGGATTTCATTTACATAGAATGCAAAAGCAGGTAAAACTACTGAAATGTCAGAATAGTGGCTATTGAGGTATAAGGGTATTGATTGGCAATAGGAAGGTTTTTGCAGTGCTGGGAATGTTTCATATCTTCATCTGGTAGGGTTACACACATTTATGTATCCGTAAAACATTCATTGATCTCTACCCTTAACATGGGTCTTCTTTATTGCATGTATGTCATATTCAGTAAAAAAGTTAAGAAAAAATGAGCTATTAAACTATGGCACTTAAACAAACATACAAAACATCAAAAAGATGTAGCAGACATCAAATTGGAAGAGGAAGGAATTTGAAAGGGTTAAAAATGTATTCTGCTACCCAGCAATTCAGTCATCTCAAAATATTTCAGAAACTTGAGTAAGTCCCAAGTAATCAGCTACAGCATTTATAGCCATTTATTGACAACCTTGTTATATACTCTCACATCATACAAGGTTTTAAATAAAATTGTGTTGTTAAAAGAAAGTTGTGACCCCACAGCAATGGATGAAGCTTTCTACTAATTATACTTTTAGTGTGCTTCTGTAAATGTCACTTGATTGGTTTATAACTAATCAAGTTATAGTTAAATGAAATGTATAAAATTTAATACATACATTCTTGTGACCTTCTTACCATGCAAAAAACATATTTCCCAGGACCTTTTCATAAATATTGGATTGCTATTATTATTATGGGTTTTTTTTTGTTTGTTTTTTTGGGGGGGAGGGATGGAGTCTCGCTCTGTCGCCAGGCTGGAGTGCAGTGGCATGATCCTGGCTCACTGCAACCTCCACCTCCCAGGTTCAAGCAATTCTCCTGCCTCAGCCTCCTGAGTAGCTGGGACTACGGGCGTGCACCACCACGCCCAGCTAATTTTTGTATTTTTAGTAGAGACAGGGTTTCACCATGTTGGCCAGGATGCTCTCAATCTCTTGACCTTGTGATCTGCCTGCCTCAGCCTCCCAAAGTGCTGGGATTACAGGCATGAGCCACCACACCTGGTGGGTCACTATTATTTTTTTCACATTTTAATCAGAGATCCTCTAAGATTTCACTTTAGCTAAGTTCATGAGGTTTCTACCAAACTACCTCTGGAATCTGGAATCATTCTTGGCATGTTAACAGCTCTGAGTCACTTGTGTTTTTAATTTTTTTCTAAATATTTCCACTACACCTTCAGGAAATGTATTTGACCCTTTTAGAAACATTGGCACAAGAAAATGTTTTCTTCCAACTTTGGAAACTATCTTAACTTTCCCATTTCCTCTCATGTCTAAGAGAAGCTCTTTAAGAAGCTATCTTCACTCAGGGGAGTGTTCATGAGCTGACCAGCAGGTCTCTGATAATTTAACAGCATTACTTTTCTATTATCCTTATTATTGTTCTAGTCTGTATTTTTCCCTTTGGAGTGTTTGCTGCATTGTTAACTTAATATAGGTTTCTTTTTTTTTTTTCATTATTTCCTCTACTTGTCTTGATGCACATATTTTCTCTCTTAGTGTCAAAATAAGGTGATGGTGAATTATGAGTCCCTTCTGAGCCTAGAATACTTCTGTAATCTGGTAACCTTTGGCATGAAGCACATATCCTAGTGAATGATGGAGCACTTAAGAGTGATTCGCCACTGAGCATTACAGAAAATAGGCTGAGGGGCTCAAAAACTCTAGGCAAGTTCCTTCTACTCAGCATGGTGTATATACCGCGCTCTCACTTTTCCACCCCCTATTATGTGGTTAAGAGAGAGGAGATAATGATGGCTTCTTACAGTTACTGATAATGCACTCAAAAATCTGTTGGGTGTAATAGTTTTAAAAGGCAGAATGAAAACACAGCTAGGAGATCAACACAAAAGGAATCATTTTCTGATAGACACAGTGAGCCTGTGCTCCTCTTGATAACGCACATATGCAACTACCATTAACTGTAATAGGAATTATGAGTGCCCCATTA